GGGGGGGGGGGCGAGGAAAGTGGAATGCACGAGGAAATCGTACCTCGCGGACGTAACGTGAAATTTAAAAATAACGTGCCGACGAGCTTTTTCAAACTCTGTCCGTCGGTGGAAAAGAAACGAGAGAAAGAGGCTAGGAAACCGACAAAACGAACCGGTGAGAAACCTTTTCAAAGTCACCGGCCGACGTTTCTGCTTGCGACGCTTCCTAATTACCTGATGTCGACGTCACGTTATATAACGAGGTTCGACGGGGGTTTCAACGAGGTACAATAATGCTCTCCTTCCTTCCACGTCGTATAAATATCTATCAGTGGATGAAGTTTAACCCTCTGACGCGAGTGAACGGACCGTTCTACGTTACCGGGGAATAACGTACTTCATGTATCGACACGATCGATACATATCGAAGAGCAAAGCTACGATCGCATCCGATTCGCTTCACCGAGTTCTAATTCCCGCGCAAGCAGTTCGAAAACTATATTTTCACGCGTTCTTTTTTTCTTTCTTAGCCCCCCGGCCCTCTTCCTCCTCGCACGTAACATGCGCCACGGTTTCACTCGAATCAATCACGTATCTCTCTACTCGAAGAGACGTCTCGCAAGAGCACGCATTTTCTACAAAAATAAACGCGTCAGCGTCGTGGGCTGTTCGAGGAAGGACGGAGGAGAAGGCTGACGAATTCCACAAACGCGTGGTGGAAAACAGGTCGTTAATGCCAGCCGCGCGCCTACCATCAACGTTCGAGGGACGAACGTTGAAACGAAATTTATCGGAATCGATAGCCCTCTGTCGAGAAGCCTACCATTGGCGAACGCGGCGAAAAAGAGTGGCCTTCCGTGACTTTCACATCTTTCTCTTCCCCCTTCTTTCTTTTTTTTCTTTTTTTTTTTTTCCGTTTATTTCGGCGTGTTCGGGAAGCAGACGCCAGTTCTCCGAAACTGTCTCTCTCTCTCTCTTTCATTTTTCCACGGGCGTCGTTTTCGTTCGCGAGGCGCGACGGGTGGAAATTATAGGAGCCCGGGCGGAGTGGTGCAGGTTCGCATTAGCGAGAAGACACTGTTAGTCCAACGTTCATCCCGTTGCACATGGTCGTCAGTGTTTTCGGAATACGAGTCGACGTATCCTGCTCCCTCCGGTGCGTGCGGCGGGCCGACCGTCGTCTCTCGGTTTCGTCTCTGCTGATCCCCATCTTGACCGCGCCCCCTTCTCGTCTGGTCTGGTCACGTCCCTCGCTCCCTTCTCGACCCGTAACCGCCCAGATCCGTTCCGTTCCGTCCCGTAGTGCCGTCCCGTCCCGTCCCGTCCCGTTCCAACCCGCCGTCTCGTTTCGCCTCGTCTCGCTTCGTCTCGCTTCGCCACGGCTCGACCGTACCGCCGGTGCGGTCGTGCGGTCACGTTGATCGATCGTTACCGTGTAACGAAATACGGTCCCCGTCCGTTTCTCCTTGAGCGCGCTCTTTGAAAAGGGCGCAGGATAAAAAAGAAGAAATCCTGCCCCGGCCTCTCTCTCTCTCTCTCTCTCTCTCTCTTTCTCTCGGACCTCGAGTTTCCAGAGATGTTTCTCCCGACAGAGACGGAGAGAAACAAAGAGAAGCCCGTGGAGGAACGAACGACAAAAGAGGGGCGGGGGGGAGGGAGGAGGGCTAGAAGAGGACGGGTGGAAAGTCGCGGTGGTGAAAGGGCGCGCGCGAGAGGAACGTTAGAGCTGGAGAAACTTGTACGATCACTGCGCGTCGCTGCGACGATTCCCTGCGACGTCCGCGTTTGGCGGAACGAGAAGCAGATACGAGAGAAGCTAGTATCATACCGTATATATACGTATATATGTATTTGATTTGGCAATGTCGCGGTTGCACCCTGTTGGACAACGTTCGACAAGCTTGCGTTCGGGATTTGGCACTTGCGATTGCGATGATTGTCGATCCGGTCTCTGGTGGTGGGTGTGTACGCGTGCATGCGTACGTACGAACGAAGAAGACGAACGGATGAATGAAAGAGCTTCGATCGAGGATGACAAAAGTATTCCAACTATGAATCGATGTCTACTGATAGGTCCTCCGAGGAACCTCCAATGCATTTTCTATGCATTCGCGGCTGACGATCTTGGAGAAGGGAAAAAGGACGAGCGAAGTCGCCACCACGGCGGTTGGTATATAACCAACAAAGGCGGACCCCGCGTGTACACGATGTTTGCCCGGCGAAGAAAGGCATCCGAGGAAACTCTCTCTCTCCGTGTCTTTTTATGGCTGAAAGTGCGTGCCGGTTAAAAATAAGCCGTTGATACAGAGAGCCTAAGCAAATTGATCTTTATACCTGAACGCAGTGCACACGTATCGCAGGTGGATGAAATCGGTCGATGTGTATATACACGACGGGACGCGACCATTTCAGTTGACTCGTATAGTTAGAGTTCCCTCCATCTGTCCCTGGCTCGAATGTATATATATATATATATCTCTCTCTCTCTCTCTATGTGTGTGACGACGACGATGGTAGTGATGGTGATGGTGGTGTGTATACGTCTTGTGTTTATTCTGTGGCTTTCTGCTCCGTCCGGCCACCCGCACACTGCTGCCAACGTACAACGGTGAAGCACGGCACGTACGATCGTTGCGTCGACGACGATACATACATCTATGTATATACCATCTATGCATATAGATCCGCGTATATACGATGGAATATACACGTATATAGGATAGAAGTAGCGTGGTGGTGTACGTCGCAGAGGATAGATGTATCCCGAGTGTACTAGGCAGAGTTTAGACCCACCCGTATGCTCTTTAACGAGTATGGAAGAGATAAGTCGTACAATAGGGAAGAGAGAGCACACAGCTTTGCAGCCAGATTAGGTGAATAAATGAACGGTAGTGGCGGCGGCAATGGGGTCGGTCGCGCTGCTGCTGCTGTTGCTGTTGCTGCTCCCGATGCCGGTACACACCTAACTCTGCGGCAAAAGCGCATGATAACCGGGCGTTTCGTAAAAACCGGCCGCCTGAAGGGCGTGTAGCGAGGTCGCGTGATGCCTGTGTATCGTGCTCGCGTACACGCTGGAAACGCCGCTGGAAGCACCGATCGACGTCAAGGAGGAAGAAGAGGACGAGGAAGATGAGGAAGAAGCTTGCTGACCAACGTGCGACGAGGCTGCACGTGATAGTAACGTGGCCGACGGCCGTCTGTACGGATGATGTCCGACCACCGAGGCGGCTGTCGTTGCTCGCAGATGAGTCGACGAATTCGAACTGGTCGCGTTATTATACGTCTGTTGATAGGTCTGTCGTAGAATGCCAGAGATCGACGTGGCCGTCGGGGTCACTGACGAGGAGGAACTTCGGTCGCTTTGGTGAGGTTGATGATGAAGTTGATGAGTCGTTCGATGCTGCTGTGTGGCTTGCGGCTGCTGCGGTTGCTGTTGCTGCTGCCGATGCTGATGATTGTGAGCGCGCATCGCGCGGAAGTAATGTTGATAAATACCTGATATGACTGCTTTTTCATCGGCAGAGATCAGCTCGGTTCCGACGGAGGTCGACGTAACCGAACTGGACTGCTGTTGCTGCTGCGGTTGCTGTTGACCGTGATGTGAATGAGTATGGGGTCGATGATGATGAGTTTGTTGTTGCTGTTGTTGTTGTTGTTGTTGCTGCTGCTGCTGCTGTTGTTGTTGCTGTGACGAAGATGGATGAGGTGGTTGCTGCT